GTACCGGCTAGTTAGACCAACCAACTATCGATTTGACTACTTCGACTTGTAGGGCACATCGAGAGCTTTACAGAAACATATGATAATAGTCATTCTAATAACCGAGTAGCAAGTTATGGCCCAAGCAAGTTATAATTTTCACATTTCAACTCAAAACACCATTAAATACATAAAGATGTTTGTTATTAATTAAACTATATCGAATGCACAATCGAGATCCTAGCGATAATACTATCTAATAGGGGTCTGATTAGTTAAAATGTATGTCTGCTAATTTCCAATACGAATGATGATAGCTTATGATGATCTATAGTATAGATTGTCCATCTATAATAATCGTGTTTGTATCTATCCTCAATAATTATTGATGTTGATAAATAGATTTATTCGTTGTTTTGTTTCAATAGAAAAATAGGTCGGGGTTGCATGCCAACATTAATCTAAAGTAGTTGTAGACATCAGAACATCCCATTAATTTTTTTAAGGAAAAAATTTAAAAAGTGGCATCAATTTCTATCAGAGGAGAAATTATATTTGGGTAGGCTAATCTCTACTAATGTTGAATTTTACTTCAATGTTTATTGAGCAAGAAAGATCTATTGATTGAAGTTGGAGGGCGAATGCTAAGGACCACCAGAAGAAGTGAGTATATGCCCTCTTGTTTGAATTATAGTGGAGGAGTATGCATCTCCATTTGAGTATTAGTTAATTTATTAATAATTTGAAATCTTGTTGAATTTAGTTTGTTGAGACACGTCATTATTTTTTTTGTTGTCTACAAATTGACGCCCTTGGACTTACATGTATAGTTTTGTACTTAGCTTGTAAGTCCAAGTAGTGTATATATTTCTCTTTCTTTTGTTAGCGTATGTCCTATTAAAATTTTAAATGTTCAGAATATTTTTTTTGACATTTGACTCGCTTTAGCTACACTTTGAGCCATGATGATTGGTGCTATTTTATATCATACTAGTAAGGATGGCATGTGCGTAGGGGTGCATTTGATCTGGATACGGCTCAGATATGATACTTATCATATCCATATCTGCCTACCCATCATAAATATAGTTATGGTTACGAGTATCTCGGTGAAGAAAACTCATATCCATATCCATTAAAATCGTATG